TCTTACAATATCACATCATCTACAAGGTTTGACCAAAATGACCATAACTCCATCTTGGAGTTATAGTCATATCTTCCACATTATTACAAATAACTTCATTTCTGGACATTTATGGTTTGATTTCTTTGTATGTATGGATCACTTGTGTTGTTACCAACATCTGGTGAAAATTTCATGTCATTAGCACCTCTAGCAATATATTTACTGAGAAAAATGGTGACGTGTTCAATACTTATTTTACCCGCTGTATTTGACCCCCACCCCCACTTATCTTTATTTTTAGTGAGTTCCCAAAATACCCTCCCGTAGTTGACTTCAAAAAAAGCCTGCATTAAACTGAACTTATTAAATAGATGTCATTATCCCTATGCACTGTGTTCTGTTACCTGTAGTAGCCCTGTTTATCTTTGGAGTACATTAACTTCTCAATGCATGGCCTCTCATCAACTTTTTCTTCCCATTGCCCATCAGTCCATCCCTCAGCATAATTCTGCAGGACCAGAACTTGGTCAATAAATGGCCCTCCATTTTCTACATCCAAAAGAAAACCAAAAAGGAACTTACAGACTACTGATTTTAAAACACATTTAATCTAAAAAAAGCAGTAATTACCTTCCATTTTAACAGTTCCTACAAATAGGTGTTTGAATAAACAATACAATCACATGTAATGTAAAAGATGATGCTTAAACAGAGGTTTAGATAAATTTACTCACCTGCAATAAATTCCTCATACTCAATGACAGGCACATTGGCCTGCAGGCTGGTGAGGCTGAAAAACTCTCCCCACGGGATACGGGTTTGGTGCAAGTCTGGACTTTGCCAGTGATAGAGGCGACCCCATGGGGGAAGAACCAATACCCAGTCATCCCCATCTTTCCTCAGAGTTTTTACCATGGAAGCCATGCGGATATAGACATCTCTCCGAAGATTAAATCCCTCTGGAGGGTTTACATCATATAAAAGGTACCTGAAATGACAAAAAGGAAAAATGAGAAAAAAAACTGTTAACACCAAGCTTATAAATTATTTTAGCTACATTTTCTTGCTCAAACATAGACTTGGTCCATTTTGCCTTAATCACCATATTGTAATATGTCTGCTTTTAGAAAACAAACAAACAAACAAACAAACAAACAAGCAAGCAAGCAAACAAACAAACAAACAAACAAACAAACAAACAAATATTATGACTGGTCAAAGAAGCTAATGGCCAGTGAATCTCAGGCATGAATGAAACCTGTCCAGAAGACCTACCTATTTTTTTTCCTACCTGGAGCAACAGGACAAATGTCAGGAATAGTGTAATGACAATGAATATAGAGATAATGCATGTGAGAAAATGTGAGGATTTTATATACAGAACATTTTAAGTTGACAGCATGCTAGTGATTTGGTMATATCAGTGGCCGGGTGGATCCGAATAATGGGTTTAGTGGGGATCCACGTAAAACCCATTATGTTGAGAAGCTCTAAGCATTTAAGCTCAAACACACGTTCGAGCCAGAGAAGCTAACAAACAAATACACACATAAGAAGCGAAACGCATACTTTGAAGTTATAGYTGCCATAAAAATAAACGCAACCGCTACAATCAATGAAAATGTACATTTCTGACCAAATGGCTTTAGCATTGCTGCCTAGCTATGCTAACCAATAAACTTACCGCAGCTCTTTGGCAGCAGCGACGGACACTGAAGCCGTCTGGCTCGCACTGAACACACTGTCACATTTTACTCTTTCTACAGCTGCAAAAGCCACGAGAATAGACACAATGAAAGTGCTAAACGGAGAGGCTGTCGCAAGATACCTCACTATTACATTGCACGCCATATTTCCTCTCTTTAGCCACGCACTTCCGGTAGAAAGCGAAGCGTCTGTTTCGTTGCTGAGCAACGGCTAATAAGCCAGCCAATAAGCTTTCCTTCTTATTCTTCTTCTTTTATTTTTTTATGGCAGTTGGCAAACAACTTGCATGTGCATTACCGCCACCTTCCATATTGGAGTATGGATGAAACGCTTATAATCTCCCCAGGAAATTAAAAATACTACTGAAAACTGTATCCCCTGACGATCTCTGAAACAATTCTCTAATATCTAACTTATTTTTATTTCTACTTAATTCTCTAATTAACACCTTTCTTTCCCGTACATATTTATTACATTCTGAGAAAATATGTACTGTTTCTAACTTTCCACAGTAATTAGGCTTACAACAACCTGTATTGTGTTTTATTAATTATTTTAATAGTACTATTTAATCCTGTATGACCAAATCTTATTCTACATATATCTTCTTCTATTTTATTCCTATTACATTTCCTTAATCCCCCAACTTTACCTAATTTCCCTCTGGGATCAATTACCTAATTTCCCTCTGGGATCAATAAAGTATTTTTGAATTTGAATTTAATTGAATTTTTTTGGATAGGCCTACTGTAATAAAAACCTCACCTTGTCTCCTCTATTCCACTGCTCTTGCCATTTCTTTTTGATATACTCTTTTATAATATTTTTGTCTCATGTTTGCTTATTTTAATATTTAAATCAACAATTTTCTTTTTTGCCGCACTCTTAGCAAAGCTATCAGCCAATTCATTTCCTATCACACCAATGTGGGCAGGAATCCAAACTAGTGAGTACCATTTTTAATCCTGAAAATTGAGTGAATTATATCCAGTATAATATCTTGCCTTGATTCAGAATTTACCTCTTGAATACTAATGCACTACTTGAAACTGAACAAGTTAAAACCCCTCTCTCTCTCTCTCTCTCTCTCTCTCTCTCTCTCTCTCTCTCTCTCTCTCTCTCTCTCTCT